CTCCAGCACTTTGAGAGAAAAATATGCAAAATCTGCATCAGCTACCAACCCACAGACAGTCTCTTTAACATCATGGACCTGATACAATGGATTCCTTCTTGTTTGATTACCCATACCTGGTGAAAAAATATAATTTGTTAAAAATGGTGAAAGTAAGTTTTGTTTAGAAAAGCAAAATAAAATGAAATGATAGGCATACCCGTATTGTTTTATCCAAGGAACCACTATAGATTTTATCACTTGAAGGTGAAACATACAGGCATGTGACAGCTTTTGCATGATCACGAACCTCCTGAATCAACCATAATGCCTTTTTACCACCATCCCAAACCTAAATATAATATATAAAAAAAAAATTAATACCAATCACTCAAAAATTTATGAAGATGAAAGTACATTGCTATTTCTACACACCTTAATGGTTCCATCAGAATGGCTGCTGCTTATTAGTCGACCTTTTATGTTAACCAAAGATGGAACCTCTCCATTCATTGATGTATCCAGCTCAAATCCTTCTGAATAACTCCACATTCTGCCTAGAATTCAAAGAGTCAGGAAGATTATGTTAAAATGTACACATATTGAAGGTTTGTACTCACTGCATTGACAGATGGCAAATTCATTAATGTTTTCATTATGTCACTGACAACCACAGAGCTCCTCTTGAGCTTTTTCAAGGTTTTTACAAGCCTTTAGCGTAGCCACCAAGTTCAACAAGTGCACCTGAACAAACAAATTATCAGTACAATTGTTTTGTCATGTCATGTCTAATATAGAACAAGGTCTAATTGTGGAGCTATGGTTGATTTCACCTGGATCACTAATGAAGCTTCTCAGGGCAACGGTTGCCAAAATCTTCTCTTCAAGATTCTTAGAGGATTGTAGTATGTATATGAATTGGTCAAGCAAAGCCTTCCGGGCAGCATCTCTAACACCTGTGTCGGGCAGATTGTAAAGCATGTATATGAGCCAAGTGGCTATGGAAAGGCACTTCTTTGTCATGTCTATGGAGTTGCTCTTCAGACATTCTTCTAAAGCATTAAATATAAGACCCTTTTCATGGTTGCAAAGTACAAAAGCTATCCTTTTCTCCCCAACAATTTGCAGCTATCTCCTCTTCCTTGTCCTAAAATAAAACATGAGTTTTTTTATATCGAATAGATTTTGTAACTGTAAGATGAAAAAAAAAAAAAAAAAAAAAACAAACCATATTCTCAATTGGTTCATGTTCGTTAACTTTGAGATTTTCTTTCTTCACAGAATCTTCATAAGGTTGATCAAATCCTGCAAGCTTGAGTAACCAGGCTTCAGTAAGAGACTTCCCTGAAGCACTAAGGTGGCCTGAAAGAGATGACAAGGCATCAAGAGCTGCAAGTTGTGAATTTGGGAAATCTTTTTTTGGGAGGGATTCAATAAGTGTTTGAATCGCTTCCTCTCGATAAATCTCATTTTTCTAGGCTCAACCTACAAATAAAAGAAAGATTTTGTTAAACATGACTCAAGTTGCAAGCCTTTGTTGATGGATAACTTGAAATGATAAAGATGTTAATGGCTAACCAGGAGATCAAGCTGAAGAAGAAGGGATGCAATGACAGGCTGTTGCTCCATTGGAGCATTTTGAAGATAGACTAGAAGAGTATGCATTGTGCTACATGCTCCTTCATCCTTTATTATTTGCAAAATCTGATTGCATAATGTTCTCCTGAAAAAGCCCTAACAAGATTAGGTAATGTCCTAATCGTAATATGAAAAAAATGATTCATGACAAAGTACTACAAAAGATGAAACGTACCTGTTTAACTGAACTAACTCCCAGAGAAATTCTATACACAGGCCTCTGACATATTCATTTCCAGCATGAAATAGTTCAAGAACATAGCACAAGTCAATTCTTGTTGCTATTAAATTCCTGCAACTTCTATCTGCATGGATGCAACACAGCAAGATATACATAACAGATTGTCGTGTATCCACTCTCTCTAAACACATAACCAATGAAGGCACTGCATTCACAGATATAAACACTCAAAGCATTAGAATTTCTACTAGTCTCATCTCCTTCGATTAAAACCTGAGCCACTAACTCTACAGCAGCATCCTTTGGATTCATCACCAGTTCAGAATCCTTGGATTCTTCATCTTTTTTACATATGTTTTGAATAATATATGGAACTAAGTTAAACTCTGAGAGCTGAGAAAACGAGGGTTTCAGAAGGTATATAAGAACAGCAGCCTCGGATAAACCGTTTTGTAGTAAAGCAGCTAAACATTCAAGATCAACATTTGTTAGAATCTCCCTGAGTCTTTCATCAGCTACTAGTAACTCAGATAGAATGTAAACTGTTGTTCTTAAAACTTCCCTGCTTAAAGAGCTGATAGAACATCAATGAATCCATTCACTGTTGTTGAAGTTGATAAACAAGCATGGACACCTGAATCAGCATTTGACTCCTTCCACATCTTGGAAATAGTCAAAACTGCTGTTTCACATTCTTTCAAATCTTCTGAGGTGCAAAGGCATGTAATGAATGGTTTTAAGCCACTGATGATGATTCCACAGCAGCTTGAGATATCACACTTGTTGGTGACGTGGCGATTGTAGCTTGCATGAATCTATTTGGTTTGAAATTGTTGGAATCATATGGATTTGATGTTCTTGATTGGATTTGTGACATTTGTCTTAAAGAAGGGCTCCCATGGGAACTTTGTGGTGTTGCAGGGTATGATAATTCTTGTGCAAGATCTGGATGTTGTTCTTTCCATGAGGTGATGAGTCTTTTCAAGACATAATTTGTTTTTGGGAGTGAATTGGCTGAGAGAGGTTGTCTTGTGATTGGACATGTTGTGTTTCCTCTCTTCATCCATTCTTCAATGGCTTTTCTTTCGTATGTTTGACCTGTTTCTAGGTTACTGGATCACTGAAATATGGCTAGTTATGGGACATACAAAATCTTTTGGTGGCCTTGATTGTGTAGAAGATTGAGGAGAACCAAAGTTTGGGCTTCCATTATCATATTCTCCATGGAAGCTGAAATTATTAAAATAAAAATTAGGACAAAAACAACAATACAAAAAATGACTCATAGTTAGTTACCTTTTATCTGATGTCTGAGTCTTCATATTTGCAATACTAGAATTTCGTCCATGTCCAACTTTTGTCCTAACACTTTTCTTATGTTCCTAAGCATTAAAGCAACAATTAGTAATAGCTAATAAGCCATCAATTTAGAAAAGGTTTTTTTTTGTAAGTCATAACTTTGAGACATACTCTAGATTCATTATCTGAGTCTGCTGAGCTAATACTGAGATCATGGTGCACTAATGGTGAAGTAGGCAAAGAAGTGGCGACTTTATAATCCATTGATCGATTGGAACGTAGGTTGAGGTAGATGTGACCTTATTATTTCCATCTTGTTTTGGAGATGAAACTTTTGGGGATGTTTTACTTGAGATTACAGGAGAGAACATCTGAGGTGAAAAAGGTCGATTTCTTTTCCTTTAATGTGTGTCCATTAGGTCCAGTTTTATAATTATTGTTCATTTCAACACTTGGAAGTGATTCTATGCTTTGAATTCCATCTTCATCCTGTTCATACTCAGATTCATTGTTTTCCTCTGGTATTCCCTCCTGTATGTAAAAACAATAATATATATAACTTATGGATATTCAATAAACTGATCAATTTTGAGTGGCTATCTTCTTAGGGGCTATTTCTTTTTTTCCCCCATTAATTCAGTCCTACATGGGTAAAGTGGCTGATTGGGTAATGAATTCTGTATGAATAACATGCTGCGTACATAAGGTATGTTCTTTTCTGGACCGAATAAACCGTCTGAATGAGACTAAATGATCATTTTACCCTTGCACTCCAAAAAAACATTTTACAATAATCATCAATTTTAACTTTAATCTTTTAACGTGAGGGTAGTCAGGAGGAAAAGGAAGGGCAAAGAGTTAAGTCATTATGTCCAGATTAAATACAAGAGAAACAACCATGTATAGTTGTCGAGCTTAAGGCTTAACCCATTAAGCCCATTAAGTCAAAAAGAAACAGCCACTTACTTGAATATCCCATGCAGCAGAATCCTCTAGGTTCTCAGAGTCGATGTGAGTGGCACTGTTCCAATTCAGATTACAGAAATGCATAAGTTTTATTTATATGTGAAAGTTGAATAAGAAGAGAAAGAAAAAAGATAAGAAACTAACCTGGAAGCTTCTCTAGAATTCTTATTAGGTTTTAGAACTGGTGAGAACCCTGCACTTTTAGGCAATATGGGACCAAATCTCACATAATCTGGAATTTTGCGACTCACTTCATGCAAAGGAGTCATAGGAGCCTCTGCAATTGGCATCATAGGAATTGCTTTCTTACTAGTTTCAGGATCATGATTCATGCAATCTTTGAAGTAATTCGCGTAATTCCTGGTATTCTCATCCAAGATTGCCCATAATGTTTTTCCAACTTTTGCAATTTCTCTGCTTGATCTGGCCTCATAGACAAAACCAAGGATTCATTAAAATACTGATCAAAATCAGCAGTGAATGATAAATCACCTGAATCTGGAATCATGTTCATCATAATCCTATGCCTTTCCTCTGAGTACCAACCAACAATAGAACTCATGTGAGGGAGAAACAGTGTTTTCCAGATCTCAGGAGCAAAATCAATCCTTGAAAAGAAGGGGTCAACAGAAAACATCTCAAGAACATGAAGAACAGCATTTGTGACATTGTTTCTCAACTTCCATAAGTAAGAAAGGTTAAGATGAGCCCAAGCAGAGAGATAGAAATTAGGGACACCAGCGGTTTTATCACTGGAATTTAACATAGCACAAACTTGTAACATCTTTTCTGCATGATCAAGTCTTGCCATTTTTGTCTCAGTGTTGGATGTATTAATGGCTTCCTCAAGGGTATCCATACCCCAATCCAAATTTGCCAAAACTGCTTGATCAGAATACCTAACTGCTGTGTCTTTGTTACTGCTCTCATCTTCTGCTGCTAATCTTTCACCACATTGTTCCTTCTGTAGGGCCCTTTGTCTTTGATCAAGCAACCTGTCTTGAATGAAACTCCCATTGTGGTGATTAAGGATCTGGCTGTATCATCTTGGTCCATTGAAAACCTATAGCTTCAAGCCATGATTATGTATTTATCAGAAGGACTAAAATTTTACTTTCAAAATGGCATTAACTTAGACTTTGAGATAAATTGACGATCACATATAATCCTGTGAAAAAATTACTACACAGAGATATGTTGATGAAAAGTTATTGCAAATCCAAGTCGAATTGAGATCAAAATCAGTTCGACCTCAACTCAACCAGGTGAGTATCAATTTGTAAAACCTGAATTCTACCGATTTCTTTATGTTCAAATTCAATACACTGAACTAACGAAAGGGCAACTGCTAGTGTTCCTCACATAGAAAAGAAGCAGTAATCTCTGTAATCTAAACTATATTACTGAAAGCAGTTTATTCTACAAATTTCACCTACTCCACACTAATCAAACGATTAATGGTGCAAAAGTTAATCAATCAACACACGTATACATAAACCTGACAGGAATAGAGACGACTTACAGTAATGATTGCTACTACCAGTCAGTACTAGGTCATGATCCAATAAACTTCAACGAGAAGAATAAGGATTGAGTATCCAATTAAGCAACAAGTAGAAGTGTAACAATAAAAAAAAATCAAATGAAGAATACGATTGATGACGAGCTGGAAAATTGATCAACCAACGATTAGATTGACGCTCCCGATACAATGTATTCTAGAGAGAGAGGCCGGCTTCCAAAACTGCCGGCCGGCGATTGTGGTTGATGGTCAACTCACCTTATTTGGTTGAACTCAAATTCTAAAATCCGAAGTAATATACAACTCTGCTGCATGATGTACAAGCATTTAAAATAACAACTTTCTGAAACTTGTAAATATTGCTCTGGGAAAGAAATTTGGCGGGAAATATTATTTTCTTATTATAGTGAGGAGGTACCGTTAAAGACAAAAAGAATAAGCTCATTATTAATTAAAGTTTAAAATAACTAAGATACCAACAGTATAACAAAATATATAATCTGGTTATTTGCGTGTCAGGTGGTTTTTTTTTTCCTATAATTGATATTTTTGTGTGATTTTGGATTGATACCCAACCTGATTATCAATATGTCCTAAAATAGTTTTTTAATTTTTTTTTATTTATTTTCATACTTCTTTAATTAAAAAATAAAAAAAAAATCCAATTTCACTCGCTTCTTGATTCAGCATCTTCTCCACCTCAATCTTACCCTAAAACCCATCATCATCAACCTTGATGATGTGATGCACCATCTCAACGGTCAAGATCCACATCAATGCGATTGTTTACCATCTTTACGCTTCATCATCGGCTCCATCAAATACCAATGCAACTAGTAATGAAGGTTAGATTGATTTCCCCAAAATCGAAACCTAAGGCTTGGGTTGAATGCATACTCGACAATGGTAATGAAGGTTATATCGATTTCCCCAAAACCGAATTTGGCGGCGACGATGATGGTCTGAGGGAAGTCTAGCTTGTCTCGCCTCTCATTCACCGTCTCGTGTATGTCGTCTCTATAACATCCAACAACCATGTTTCATCTCCGCCTACCTTCTTTACTCTTGAATGGTGGCTTATTTGAGCCTCGATTACTACCTTCCTGCTTTCCATGGGGTTGTTTCCTAAGCTATTCTTGTAACCACATGTAACGTCCCCATTTTCAACCCAAAAATTTTCAATTCAAATATATCAGAGTATAGTTACATTATGCGGAAACATGTTGCGAATGTGCGTGTATACAGTCGAACCTTGCCCTTTTATGAGTCAATGAAGTACCTGAAAAACATTTATAATCAACTGGGTAAGCACGAAGCTTAGTGAGTTCCCCAAAATACCATATACCACAATACATATACACTGCATACACATAATGGCTTTCAGCATAAAGTTGGTCCGCTCTTAGCCTTCAGCACAAAGTTGGTCCACCCTTTTTGCCTTCAACATAAAGTTGGTCCGCTACTTGGCCTTCAGCATAAAGCTGGTCCACCCGAGTCTATTGGCCTTCAGCCCGAGGTTGGGCCGCCCTTAACTCCCCACATAAAATATCAATATATATAACATAACAGACAGCAATCCAACACTACAAACAACTAACAGAACTATCCTAATGGCATACTACATGGCAACTGTATCCTAACATACAGAAGATATATATTGGAGCACATAATATAGTGAAAAAACTCACATGGACAGTTTCTCAGAAGATTAACAACTTTCTGGGCGATCCCACTGGCGAGCAACGTGCCAAACGTGTATTAACCTATAATACTATTACTTATTAATCTTATGACAATCTGGTAATGAAAGCTAGATATTTCATTAATCCCAATAAATACCGAGAATTCTATCAAATAAGGATCAACCAGACAGGAAAACTGAGAGGCAAGACCATTTTGGCATATAGCATTTCTAAAATCCAACAACCAAGCCAACATTATCATTCTAAACACCTATCTCTTAAGTAAATCAATCAGCATTATAACTGGAATTACCGATAAATCTTGTTTATACATTCATAACAACAACTATGAATATAAATATAAGTTACACTTAAAGCGTAGTAAGTGTAACCTAACCAATAGAGAGTTTCTAGCGAAAACTGGAAAAGTCGCGGGTAGGACTCCGACCCAAGCACCCAAAACTGTTGGACCCTTTGAAAACGTAGGGCTCCACTAACTATTTCTAATAATTTAGGGAAAAACAGAACTCGAGATGAGAATCGATTTAGAGAGAGTTTAGAGAATTGTGAGAGAAAGAAGAGGGCGTAGGCTGCTATTTATAGGCAAATTTTGAGATGTGCCTTGCGCACTTCTGTTGACGTCTCTCCTCTGAAATGCTTACACGTGTCAAGCTCTCTGTGGTCCGCGTTGCCACCTTCTAGAAGCGCGCACCGCGTAAAACGTAGATTTTGTAAATTCCGCAACTTCTTCATATGAGCTCCGTTTTCGACGTTCTTTATATCCACGCGTATCTATCGACGATATCTACAACTTTCATTTAGACTCCATTGGCTAACTCTCACTTTTGTTTTTAAAGTTATATTTATATAGGCTTAGACTCTTAAAGTCCGTATAAAAATTATAACTCTCTCATACGATATTTGTTCTCGATTGTCTTTATATTGACGGATAGGTATTGACGAGATCTTCAATTCTCGTTTAGATTGTTTGTCCTAACAATCAACCGATCTCCATTATGGTTTCTGTGTCGCATACTGTTGCGCTGAAACTTCTAAAAATCATGTTTTCCTTATATGAAGTCAAATTTGGACATTCACTATATGCACGCTCTCGCTTTTACGATTACTATGACTTTTGTCAAGATTGTTTATCCTAAATAGTCCTATATCAAGTATGTCTATTTACGTCACTGACCGTTTATAATGTAAGACAAAAATTGGATGTTACAACTGGTCCGACTACCTCTTTATTCCTTCATCTCAACAGTCGACAATGGTAATTCAGATGTTTCAACCAAACAACATGTTAAATATTTAGATCCTCTTAGAAATTTAGACCTCCTAAAAATTTAGATCTTAAAAATAGAAATGCTGCCAAACAACCCCTTACCTCTGAAACACGTGTAAAATGCACAAGAACTACATTCCATCAATTTTGTAGAAGTCAAAATCCCTAAAACAGGACACAATCTCATAATTCAATTTATAGTTTTTGTCTTATAATATAGAGAAAAAATAACAAAAAAACAAAAGAAAGCAAAATTTACCAGAGGAACAAAGCTTTTCCCAACAATCCAAGCCCTCGTGCAATCAATAACATCATCTTCAAATGGAGTTTTCACCAGTAAATGAAAAAATTAAGATTTAAACAAAAAAACTAACTTAGAAGGGGGCGGGGAGATTAGTAATACCTTAGTACTTTGGATAACTCCATCAACCGGTCTTTGGCGATTATAGTGACTAACCAACATGCGAGAGAGTAAAGCAGTGGAGCAGGTGGAGGGCTAACAAAGGAAATTTCAGGCATATATCCTTCAACTCCACACGACAAAGGCAAATAGGAAGAAGAAGACACAACCTTGATCGATTAGCGTTTATGTGATGTTGAATAGAGAAAGAGAGAGAAAATAATAGTAGAGGATACAATGAAGCAGGAGATGGCGACAAGTGTTACATATCTTTATTAAAGTGATTGGTACATAGTAGCGGTGGAGATTGGCTCCAAACCATTTGGTATTAAAGCCGACTCCAAATCATCGTTGTTCATAAATCATTAGTAGATATAATATGCTATACAATTATATACATATTAATTGTGGAATGTTAAGTAAATAGTAAACTTTGGGACTTAAGACTTTGCCATAATAGTTTCTTACATTGGCGGTTTTGGTTCCTGTTCTAAACGGGGTGCATGTCTTGAACACATATTATATTCATGTGCACATCACTGTCTCCCACCGCCTCTCTTTTTCTCTCTCTCAACCTTCTACATACATCATCTCTTCCGTTGTTCTCTATTATCTAAACTAAAAAACCCTAGAATTTGGAGATCATCGCAAACAAATAGGGGGAAAGGGATGATGGTTTCTTTCCGACCTCACATTTGCATCTCGTTGATCTCACCGACCTCACATCAACTACTATTGATCTGATGGCTTGGGTAGTTTCCTCTCGAGTAGCCGTCGTGTCTGCTAGAACTGGAATTCTGGGTTTCCAGTAATGTCATTGTCGGCGTCTTCGTCACCCGGTGACCTTCTTCTGAGTCGGAAGATGAAGGCGACAGGTAACCAACGTTAGTAGTATCTCAAGGAAGGAGGTACTTGCAATCATAAGGGTGAAGTGGAAAAGGTCAATTTGAGATGCTTTGGTGTTGCGCATCAGGTAAGGCCTTCATATTAACTCAAAAAAGATCTATCGATCGTCTTCAACATCCACCGTCACACATAACATCCAGCGTCAATTTGAATCAATATTATTCCATTCCATGGACTCCCTTGAAAACATCGACGTGTTTCCTGTTATTCCAATACATACTCCAAATCCACCATAACATTCCATTCCTCTTAGGCTACAAGGCATCATGTAACAGGGCAATCTATTATGCAATTCCTGAAAGTATCCTTAGCTTTATCCTAGAATGAAAGCATTCATATCATATAACATATCAACATATATGGGTATTCTGGGAATCACTTACTTGAGCTCGGTTGATTGCACACATCACACTCCCTATTTCTTTATAAAGATATTTTAGAAATTTGTTTTCTTTCAAAAGATTACCAATTCCTCAGTTTGAATTCAGTCACACCCGAGAGTGTACCTGAATCCCTTAAACCAAGGCTTTGATGTCAACTTGTAATGTCCCAAAAAATTCATAGTAAAATTTTCATTTTTAAAACAATAAATCATACAAACGAGTTGTTCCAAAACTGATCAAAGTGAATATATTATTTAAACATAAGAGTAATACCATTAATTGCCAATGCGGAAAATTGTGGGGGATGTTGTGCAGTCACGTCGGGTCCTTCCCTTTCGAACTGGAAGTACCTGAAACCATAAATATGAAACTGTAAGCACAAAGCTTAGTGAGTTCCCCAAAATACCACATACCATACATACAATAGAGATTGCTATGTGCCAACCATAGTTTTACCACTATGCCATGAGCCGTATCATGGTCTTTCATTGCCAGGCCGGGGGCCAAAACCATGGGTCTTATAGACAAGTGCCAAAAGCCACCTCCTGATGTTCTATGCAAGTATCACAGAGACAACGAGCATACTACATATATCTGTCAGGGTCCAGTCTCTGGTCGTGCATACAATTTGCCGGGAGCCACCTCCAGGTCTTTCATATAAATACCAAGGGACACCCCCTGGTCTTCCTATATAACATAAGCCAATGGGTCGGCATTGGTGCCTTCGACCCCGAGTACAGTGAGGAGACTCACCTGAATCACAAAGTCGACTAATACTCAACTCAAAGCCACACAACCGCCACAACCACACTCCTATCACAACATACAAGGTCCAACCTTAGACTACAACCTGAAATCAACCATCTTGGTCAAAAGTCAACCTAGTCAAAAGTAAACGGTCAAAGTCAAAGACCAATGTTGACTTTAGTCAACCGCCACGTCATGGCCACCTATGCCCACGTTGTGGCCCTCCAGCAATAGTCCATCATGATATTCCTTATCGCCACGCCGAAACGACCTGGTGTCACGACGTGTGCATCGAGTCTTTAGCAGCTTAATGGATTAAGCTGCCTCCCTCGATCATAAGGCCTCCAAAGTTCAGATCTAGTCCATACTATTGTCTAAATGGATAAAGTTTCCAACTTTATCCATTAAGACACCCAAACAAATCAAGATCTCAACCCCTAGGTCCAAATAAAGCCAAAACCCATGATGTCTTAATCATTAAGCCCTTAATCCGAAAAAATCCTTAACCCAACTACTCCAGAAGGGTTTCAAATACCATATTTATCATAAAGGTGGATGTAACATCCCAAAAATACCAGCTAAAAATTTCATTTTTAAATTAGGTTAATTCATAAAAACATCGTTACAAAAC